TAACATAAAATTTGTCTTATTGAAAATGAGTATAGTGTTTATAATAAATGTGTATGATGATTAAAAGAAATGAACACACATAAATGCATATTTAAGAACATAAGAAAATTTAAATGAGCATACACAAATGAAAATTTGAACATACTAGAGATTTTAAATGAGATACAGAAATTAAAGTTTGAGCATAGTAAAGATTTTAAATGAGCTTTTTGAAATTTTTATGCTGATTTCATAATTTTGTATGCTCATTTGGTATTAATTTTATGTTCATTTTAAAATGTCATATTTTATCCATATCTAAAAAGTATAATATTGCATTAAATTCACATGTTCGATTCATATGAGTTCATTGTTGATATTTTAAAAATTACGGAGTTATAAAAATAAAGTGAATTATAAGATATGGAGTCGATATCACGATACTCATTATTAGATTCTTAAATGCTCAATAGAATAGATTTGGTGCTCACTAAACGAACATATCAATGCGCATTTTGTAAGTTGTATATGATCATTTGATATTGATATCATGCTCATTTTAAATTTGTCATATCAATGCATATTTCAAAAGTATCATATTACATTAAATTCGCATATTGAAGTTTATAGAAGTGGATTATAGATATAATTTAATGAGTTTTTGTAAAAGATAAAATAAGAAAAACAAAGTGAATAACAATATATGAAGTTGATATCACAATACGCATTATTCGACTCTTAATACTAAGTAAAATACGCCCGATGCTCATTAATAGTGTATTAATGCTCATTTAACGAAAACCATGATTTTCACTGAGATTACGAAAATGCCACCGTTTTTTAGTTGTGATATCAGCTCTCTCGTAATAACATGGTGCTCATTATTAGACTTTTAATACTCATTAAAATTGGACTATTGTTCATTAATAGTACACTAATGCTCAGTTAGCAGAAACCACGATTTTTACATTATATTACAAAATTGACTCATTTGTTCTCTCTAATCTATTCAAGATCGCCACCCATGTCAAAATGTCTACATTAAACGTTGTTTTTTATATTAAGGCAAAAAATTTACTAAGAACATATAAAACTGTAAAAATAAGAAGATGTATTTTTAATTACGCCTTCACTCTGTTAAGGTTGTCTCATCTTTCTTTTTGTGTGATTTTAAATCGTTCTTACTTTATTACGTAATATTATTTTATCAATTCAATATGAATAACATAAACTCGTTTTTCTTATTATTGGAATCACATTTTTATGTTTCAATGTTAGTGAGACGAATGCAGTAATATTAATGTGTATTTCTCTAATGTCGCATGGGCGTCATGCACATTGTTGCATTGAGGATAATCTGAATTCGAGATAATCATTCTCATTTGTGAGAGAATTTAAAAGTTTATCCAATACTTCCCTGTTTTTTTATTAGTTGTCCTCTATTCCTTTTTGTGAAATACTCCCTATTTCATTATTGGAAAATGCTAGGGGTATACACAACTTGTACACACAATGTCGGTCACAGACAATTGGTACGGAGTTGCCTGTGACCACAGACAAGAGTTGTCTGTGTACACAGACAAATTTTGTCTGTTTCCACAGACATTTACTTTTTTTGTAAAAAATACACTGAGAGCCGTTTGACACTGACAAGTACTTTTTACATAAAAGTAAATGTCTGTGGAAACAGACAAAATTTGTCTGTGTACACAGATAACTCTTGTATGTGGTCACAGACAATTCCGTACCAATTGTCTGTAACCGACATTGTGTGTACAAGTTGTGTACAACTTGTGTACCTCTACCATTTTCCTTCATTATTTGTCTACGTTTTCCTTTTTAGTACGGAGTAATTATTATATCCTACTCGTATAAAATTACCTTTATACGGAGTATTCTAACTTTTGTCACCCCTACCTTTTTTACTTTTGTCAAACTACTTGTTTCATACTTTTATTTGAAACCACAAAATACCTAAGGTGACTATTGATTAAGAACATAGCAACTAAGGGAGTATTATTTAATTGTAATTATATATAGTGTTTTACTTAGAGCTCGTTTGGAGAACTCTGTTTTCGGCTTATCAGGCTTATCAGCCAGCTTTTTCACCAAACACGTAACTTTTACTTTCGCGCGCTGAATTGTGTAATAAGCCGAAAAAGTAAGGTTGGAGTTACTTTTCTGGCTGTATTGGCTGAAGTTACTGTAGAGGATCATTTTAGCTATTTTTACATATAATTTTTTCTTTAATTTATTAATAAAATATATTTTAAAAATATTTTTTTCTTAAATCAGCAGAATCAGCCAAAACAGCCACTCCAGCCAGAATATCATAAATTTCAGCAGAATCAGCCAAAACAGCCGATTTTGGTGCTACCAAACGGGCTCTTAGACTCCGTACCACAGTACTACTTTTCTAGCAATCGTGTTACACTCCGTATCTCTTGTAACTACTTGTAAACAAGTGAGCTGCACGTGCTATTTTTTCAAATACAGTTATACACAGTTCTAACTTCTAGCTAGAAAAAGAAGAAAAGCCTCATTGGTAGAATATTTGTCACCAAATGGATATGTACACAAATATTGCAAAACAAACCATATACTCCTCCGCCCTGCAATTAAGTTCACACTTTGATTTCACACAGATTAAGAAAATAAATTTGACTTTACTGTGGAGCAGGGGCGGATCCAGCTTTAGCATCCAGGTAGGGCCACATTTTAATTAAATAATAAATATTGAAAAAAAATCTATTGTAACAACAAAATTAAGACAAAATAAACATAACAGGAAAAAGAATTCTCATTAAAGTCAAATACAAAAATATCACAATTTTACAATTGTTCTCTACGGGTTTTCATTGATTAATATTATTTGATAATGACATCATTGTCAATTTACCTCATTACTTTTATTAAAAATAAGATTAGTTATTACACTAATGCTAATTCTTAATAACTATTAGATTAATAATTACAAATCACAAGTAAATTCATACTACTATAAATGATGATTACAACTTTATAAATAGCAATCAAATTCATACTAAATAAGGCTGTAATTTCGTCTTAAAATTGATTTAAAAACACAATAAAACTAAATCTTAACATTAAACAAGGTTGCAATACTAAAGTCTAAACAAGGCTGTAATTAAATTAAAAACCTAGTAGCTTAGTAATTTACCACCAAAGAGCAGAATTGAAAGCCAGAAACTAAGCAGTGAAGCAGCCCAAACTGGCAAATTGCCGTGCGCCGTCCAAATGCGGAGCTTAGGTTGGGATTTGGGGTTTTGCTGAAATGGAACACTGCGTACTCCTGGGGACTGCTACACTGCTGCCTCTTCCCCTGCGAGCTGCATTCTTGGAGTTGGATGTGGAAATTGAGATTTTGGGCCATGGTCTAATGGTGGGCTTGGCTAGAAGGATAGAAGAGTGCGGATGAACAAACCTACCGACTGATGGAATAATGGACCTGGACTACTCCATATTTAACATTTTTTTGAAATTTGAGGATGGGCCTAATTTTTATACATATATACTAGTTAAAAAATTAAAAATTTGAGGCTGGGCCTAGGCCCTCCCTGGGCTAAGGCCCAATCCGCCCCTGATGTGGAGTGCACTGTTTCGCACTATTTAAACATTGTTTGACACTGTTTGGACACTATTTGGCACTGTTTGGCAGTGTTTTGATGTAAAGAATTTGTCAAGTAAGAAAATTTTGAAGTGTGAAGTTAATTTTCGGACTGCCCAAAAAGAAAAGTGAGAAGATTAGGGATTACTTCGGTAGGAATGTTTATCCCAAGTGTGGGGAAGATACCCCAACTTAGAATATACGGAGTAATATGTTTCAAGCGTGGAATATTATTAGTAAATGTATCATTGCATCACTTCCAAATGAATGCATGTAGTATTAATATGTTTTAATACTAGCCTATTCACTTTCCATATGATGTCATTTTATGCTTTGGTGATAAAAAGTATGGAACGATTGAAATGAATAAACATAGTACAAATTATACTAAGGATATGTTTGGCACATAAGTCTCCGCCTTCTAGTTTTTAATTTGTACTATTTACAAAGTCTTTAAAAGCTTCTAGTTGTATGTCTGACATGCCAATTTTTAAGAACTTTTATAAAATAAAATATCTTTTTTGAGACGCTACAGTGAGTAGCATCTCAGATAAGTGCATAGCTGCAAACATTAATTAGTCCTACATCTTGTCTATCAAACATAGCTAAATCAAACAATTAGCTTTTTATCAAATAGCTACGGCCTTTTCTTTTTAAGATTTCTAAAAAAACTCATTAATGTATATTTTCAGCTAGTTGTGTCAAACTCAATATAATTGGTTCTAGTTTTTTGTGTTCGTGTTTATTTCGTTATTGTTCACAAATGAAGTCATGAACATTAAGGAACTTGAATGGTTTTCAAAAAAAGAAATAGATAAACGACCGATTCCTTGACAAACAATCACATAAACAAACACTTCGTATTTCACATCATTAAAATAATAAAAGAGAAAATTATATATTTAGCATCATAGCTTATGAAAGTGACTGTTATTAGTTTGTAAGTTCATCATTCTCATGCATATCATGTCCTATACCAATGATTTACTAAAAATCATTTATTTGAAAATGAAACTTTGCTATCTAAAACATGTACTACCACTACTACGCGTATTATACTACGTAATAAAGTTGTGTTCATGGTATTATATACGGAGTATATTTTAAACTAGTTAGTAAATTTGTTGCAAGACGTATGGAATTGAGCATTGTCCAAGTTCTAAATTGAAAATTTGACCATTGACTAATGCACTCTAAAACAATTGGAATTTTAAAGCCCAATTTAAAAATAATGAATTTGACAGAATCCGTTAAATCTACTGATCCATGACATTGCATACTAGTAGGACAACTAAATTACTACCAAAACACAAGTAACTAGATCCAATCTATATTTGGAAACTCCAAGTGAAATCCCTCTGTAATTTTCCTTTAGATCATATCAACACTAAAAGGACTATTTAGAAGTTAGCAACATTAGTTCATTAATAAACATTGATTTGTAAACAACAAGTGATCAAGCACTAACTCATCAATACAATAGAAGAAGGAAACCCTCACTATAAAAGAGGGGCAGTAGAAAGCAATTTGAACAAAAAAAATGGGGGATTAACCAAAATAATGAAAAGCTGCCAATTTCCACTATTGCCCCTGTCCAAAGAGTAGCCATCAACTTCATATCTACTGTCCCCTGGATTTATGGAGATCTCCATGCACTTGTCTGGATAGTTCAAAAATTCTTGTTGTACGCAAAATTAATACACAAATTGTACACAAATTGTACACAAATTTTCTAGTTGTCTGGATACACAAACAATTCATTTGAAAAAATGAAGAATTTTATACCAAAATGCTTGTGTACACCGACACCGACACCGACACCGTACAATTTGTGTACAAATTTTGTGTATAACATGAAATATCCTCTCAAGTCAGTGGAGACCGTTGGGGAACACCCTTCCTCCTGTTATTCACGGCACCAGCAATTTCCATTACGGGACAAAAACTCCGCCGGAGCTCCGACGACCGGAATGACAGCAAGTTGCTGCGTTTCTTTCGGACCACCTCAGTGGTGGCCGTGCAACAGAAAGTCCGGCAATCCACCACACCGGAGGGGCTCCCACTGCCACCGGAATCAGTCTTCACAGAACCAGCCGGTTCGAGGACTGTGTTGGGAGTCATCAGACCGTCTTCCAGATCCCATTCTAGCATTGTCCGACGGTCATAACTGTGAATATACTTTGCAAGCTGGGACCCACTCCTCAGAAGATGTTGCAGCTGATCCATTACAAGAAAATGCTTTAAATTCATTGTTTCTAATTAAATGGGAGTGCTTTTTTAATTGAAACCTGATATAGTGGCAATATGGCTTATTTTGGTAATTGTCATCATTAATATGAATTTAAAATGAGTAGAATGACTTGTTTTGACTTTGATTTAGTCCAAATGATTTCAATTTTATTCAAATAAACAGCAAGCTCAGTTAAAACTGAACATCTATCATGCAAATTTATTTGAGCGTTTTAGGTTATACGTTGGATTACAAGATATATGATCCATTATTGAGAATCCGTTAACATATTCACTAACTGCTAACCGTTGATGAATGCCAAACAAACATACTCTTTGAGAAAAATATGCAAATATGGGATGTATGGATCTACTTCTTAAAATTGATTTTGCTCTTTCAGAAATCAGAATAAAATATTGGAGTGTTTGAATAAAAGTGCAGAAGTACTTCTATGTGATCCAAATTATTCCTTGAAACAGTTTTTTAGAAGCTAGGCTAGATGAGCTTCACAAAACAAGAAGTGAAACAAGAAGTGAAACACCCCCTTTATCTCCTCAAGTTGACAAAACAAGAAGTGAAACAAGAAGTGAAACACCCCCTTTATCTCCTCAAGTTGTAGATATGCCCTTAATGTTTTACAAGGTACAAAAACTTTGTAAAGTTCATAATTTGAAGCGAATGTACCCCTTTTTTATAATAATTTACCATAACTGATTCTAAATAAATAAAGAATACTACGTATATTATTAAAAATAAATAAATTATTATTTTTATATCATTTTTACACTTTTATTTTTCGAGGTATTTTGGGTGTAAAACATAGCAATCTCTTTATCTACTTCATTACTCCAAAATACCTAAATGCCTAAATAAAATTTAAAAGAATTATTAAACAAAATTAATTAAATTCCAGAAAAGGGCTATTTAAATTAGCAACCTAAGCATACTGCTCCATTGCCGCAACTCTATGGTCTAGCACTCTAACCAAACAGTAAATCTATCTACATGATAACTGTGAGATAAATTCCAAAGAATAAAAGCGATATCTTTTTTTTTTACTGAGAAGCGAGTAAAAGTCAAACCTTGCAGGAAATTGAACAATACAGATATGGGTTCTGAAGGACTCTGTCACAATTCAGGCAAGGGTTGCCGGAGCTTCTGCAAGTCTTGGAAAACGGCCGGCTTTTCAAGAACACTACTTTCGCCCCATTATTAGTGTATGACTGCAAAGAACAAACAAAATTAAAAAACCCATACAACAGAAATTCATGTTCAAACAGAAATTAAATTTCATAAAATGAAGACAATGGAATTACTTGAACATAATCACAATCCATCAATTTCTGGGCATCACCAAGCTTTATAACATCATGGTAGACATATCTTCTGACCTGGGAAAGGGAGAAAAAACCCACATTTTCAGTGGAAGTAATTAAACAGGGCAGAAGAAAGAAACAGGAAAGAATTCAGAATTCAGAAACGTTTCAAAAACTCTACAGAAACTCTCCAAACAAACGTTTTTTGAAAAAACAATTCCCGTTGCCTGTTTTTCTCATGATTTTCGGGTTTCCGGCAACATAGATTAATTACCTGCAGAAGACGGTGGGGATGAACACAGTGCTGGCAAATAGCTTCACAGCAATCCAAGCAAAAAATGTTCTTTTCGTTCTTCTTGGAATCCTCATGGTCTATGCAGGCGTTGAAGAACTTCTCTGTCAGCAAAGCCAGAAGCCACTCGGGAAGATGAGAGGAACCATCCAACTGCCGTAAAAATTTCAAATTTAAGAATAGTAATTAGATATTACAGCACTAATTAATTAGTAAATAACCCTTCTGCAGAAATTAAACTAGTATTGATAAGGAGATTTGAGGGATGGAGCCAGAGCCCACCATTTTTGTTTTGCTCTGTTTCTGTGGTAAATGCCTCGGAGAGAGGGAAAGGAAAAGGAGACGGCGCGAGGGACTGAAACGTTTGAGCGTTACTGTGAGTCTGTGACCAATTGAAGGGAAGGGAGAGGAGAGGGGTTGGAAGCTTATTAATTAAAGCTGCTGGTGGCGTGTGATGGCATACGTATATATATCTGTGCATGGTGATAGACAGTGATGGATATTGGTACTCACAAATTCCATTTAATTAATTGTTTGTCTTAAACAGTGTCATAATCATGGGTGAATCAGTAAATTAGATCGGCAGGATCAATGTTTAAGAGGAAGTTAAGCAGTATTGAAATTTATCAATGGATTTTGATGAATTTGATAAAATTCTACGAGTAGGTAAAGTGAAAAGCTTGATCTGTTCAATTATGAAAGTCTCTAAATTAACTTTCATATTCCATAGTATATTTGACACCAACGGTGGACATTGTGTAATAGAAAGATGTGTAAAGGGGAGAAAATTGTGTAAAATTGTGTAAGAATTATTGTGAATCAATAATTTTTTTATCAAAAAGAGAAAGTGAAAGTTAATTTTGGAAAGCTCAAAAAGAAAATTTGGAAGTTTAATCAGAGACAGGAGAATAATGTGTTTATAATAAAATGTACATGAAATATACTAGTTAAAATAACTATATATAGTAAATTAAGCCAGAAAACAACTTTAATCTTAATTATATTGATTATCATACAATTTAATGAGTTAAATAAAAAAATTACATGTTTAATAAATAATCAACTGATAAGGCAATAACGATAATAAGAGTTGCCAAATAGACTCTTATTTTCATAAAATGATCAAAGAAATAGGAGAAAGAAGGTATCTATTAACGTTTTATCATCAAATGACATGAGACGTATTATATTATGTCCCTTGGTTATTTGGATAAAATTTAATATGAATTGTGCACCAATAATTTTCCTCTCAAAGTTCCGCTATAATTAACGGAATTTGGGGTACATGTTCATAATTTATAGGTGAGAATTTTAACCCTGGGAAGTGGGAATAGCTACAGGGATTGGGACTTCTATTGGGAGGTTTACTGAAGTAGATGAAAACCAGTTTGAAGGTTTGTGGAAGGCCTGTATGAGAATCCATGTTTGTCTTGATAATGGAAAACCGCTCAAAAAGAGTTTGAAATTGAAAAGAGGAAGATGGGGATTGGATCTGGGTCGATTTCATGAGAGCGATATCTCACGAGTTTTGCAGGATGGGCCTTTTGACCAAAATCTAGTTGTTATAAGCCGGGCAGGAGGGAGAGAGAGAGAGAGAGAGAGAGAGAGAGAGAGAGAGAGAGAGAGAGAGAGAGAGAGAGAGAGAGAGAGAGAGAGAGAGAGAGAGAGAGAGAGAGAGAGACCACTGGAGGTGGTGCTTAATCACGCGGAATTTTGGATACAAATCCATAGTTTAACTCTCATTTGCATGACTGAGACAGTGGCAATTGAGATTGGCCGATACTTGAGGAGGCTGTACAGGATTGATGAAAGAACTCTGAAAGGGAAAATTAAGAACTCTGAAGTTAATTGCGGGACAGAGGGAGTATATTTTTGTCTTAGTAGCAAGTCCAGCAATGATGATAGAATAGTCTACCATATTGTGGAGTTAGCAATCTGAGATGTCCTTTTAGGACTGGTCAGTTCCATGTCTCACTCCAAGGTTGCTCTGAGCTATTACTCTGCTTTGTTCACTGTTACTTTTAATATCATTAATAAATGAGCATTTTTCTTAAAAAAATCATGGATTTATAAATGTCCATAGGTTAAAAAAAATCATTTAGAACCATATTCAATACACCCCTACATGTATATGTTGTAATATGTGGTAAGATTTGCTACAATTATGCTTTGATGATTTGGCAATTAACTCTTTTGTCGATTTTCTAATTCAATCATCATCTATTAAATTTACAATCCAACACCATAGACTATAGTCCTTGACACTACATCTCTACACGTATACTATCTCTGTAACGTAAAGATCTTCTCATTACCTCTTTTTTTTACCGTAACTAAATAATTTTCATATTTCTAAATCTTCTCATCATGCCCTCAATAATTTAAAAAATAATAGACTATTACATCTATTTTTTTGGATTTATCCTTCATTCTACCACACTATTTTATTATCTTCCCATCATACCCTCAATAATTTATATCCACTATCACTATTTATAATCTCACCTACTTTCAATTTTAGAAGATTCGAATGTAACGGAGGTAGTATGTGATATGGCAATCCTTTGAACCATATGTTTTATTATCATTATTATACATCTCAATTCTCAAGAAATTAATCTCACCGATCTTACTTGAGTTCTTCACAATGATACATAAACAAAGACATTGCTTTACAAGAAAACTGAGACAGGAACCATAACACTTGCGATTGATTTAAAGTAATTCTAACCTTATTTAATTTTGTTATTACACAACACATATGAAATACAAATCCAATACTTGTCTTTCATCCTTCAGAGTTTCGAACACCTGCTTGAATATGTAAATTGGATATACGGAGTATACTCAATGAAATGAATACTCCAGAGTTTAAACTGTCATATACCCTCTTGGTCAAATTGCAGTGTCTTTATTCAATTGATTATTAGAAACAGTAACAGCGGGTCATAGTCAATTGCGTAATCAGTTTATGCTTAACTGCGAAACAAGTGTTAGCATTTCAGACGAGCGGCGTTTCGCCGCTTTTTGGTCGCACAAATCACGCATTTTTCTCCGGCTTGTGGCGGCGCTGATTGGATCAGATTTTGCAATTTTGTTCTCGTAGTAGTATATACAGCTATGAAACGCTAGTGATGAATAGTGCGTACAAATACAGTGGGACCAAAAATTTCAGCCAACCATTGCAGCCTATTTTATTTGGAAAATGATTAGGGTACATGAGTTGTACACAAGTTGTACACAAAACTCCCCTAGTTGCCTGTGTATACAGACAATTCATTAAAAAGGAGTAGTACTTGATATCAAATTGTCTGTGTACACAGACAATGTACACATTTTTTGTACAACTTGTGTACACCAAGAACGGTCCATTTTATTTTGAGCGAAGTGAAATTCAATACTTTGATTAAGGAGGTGTTTGGTAAAACAAAATTGGTGGTTTCATCACTTTTAGTGTTTTGAATAAGTGAAAAAACTGTTTAGCAAATAGTTGTTCGGTAATAGCATGTTTGAACGGAAACGCTAAAAAGAAAATGGTGCAAATAGGAGAGTTTTGAGTTAAAATTTTGAAATATGACATTTTCTGACAACCCACCAACTTATTTCGCTAGTCAAACCGACTGACTGAATCCACTATTGACTAGCCGCTAATATAATCTGATATCAGCTAACCGCTAACCTCTAACCGCTAAATGTCAAACACGCCCTAAAAGTCAAATGATTTACGGACTAAATTATATAATCATTATAATAAGTAACACTAGAGTTATCTTGTGTCTAAATTGATTGAAATTATTGTAGAGAAACATTTTACCTTATTTTCAAATAATTTTTCTTTACTTTATTAATAAAATAAATTTTAAATGTTTTCTCTCTAATTTAATTAGCATATTTATCTAATTGAGTTATTAAAGTAAAAATTTCATCAATTTCAGCCGATTTAATTGTTCCAACCAATTTCACTGTTATAAAACGAGCTTTATTTTATCAATCAAAATGTATTGAAATTTTCACCGATAGGAAATCCATCCTCTCACTTTAAAAGTCTGTTTGGTGATCATGTTTTTTGACTTATCAACGAATTTTTCACCAAACACGTACTCCTTTAATCCCACTTTACATGTCTTACTTTCGTTTTTTGATTGTTCCAAAATTTGTGTTATATTACAAATTTTGAAAATTAAAGGAATATGTATTTTCACAACATTTCATTTTATAATATTCAAATCTCAATCACAACTTTTTACTTTTTCAATCACTTTATTAATAATTGTGTTAAACCAAAACACATAACGTGGAACAAAAGTAGTAATGTTTAAGTTCGCGCGCTGGATTGTATAGTTATCAAAATTAGTAAGGCAAAAGTCACTTTTCTAATTAGAACCCCACTTTAGTTATATTTCCCTATAATTTTTTCCTTATTTTCTTAGTAAAATATATTTTTCCATAGTTGAACAAATTGAATTCATTCAAGCGCTTCCGCCAGAAGTTAATCAATTTCCGCTAACTCAACTAATTTCAGTTTTATCATTAGTTTTTGTATAATTGATAAGTTAGAATTTGTGATTAATTTTTGTCACAATTCTATGCTTATTATTTGCCTAATTGAGAGATTTTAATCTTACTTTTGTCTTAAAAATAACTTTTGCAGGTGTGGATTTGATTTCAATAACTTGAGTACTTTTGGACTGGTTTGTGAGATTTTAATTCCGAACTCCAGCCTGTTAAAAGAAGCAGAAAGTTTGGGCCTATTTTACAATTGAGGAAAGAGTCTACAATTCAAGCTCAAGCCCTCCACATTAGTTAAAAGTTACAAATCAAAACTTCTCTAAAGAAAAATAGTCTTGCACGTAGGAGGTTTTCTCATGGCCTGTAATTCTAAAAAGTCCAAATAAAGGAGGGCAATAAATCTTTTTCTTATGGACCGTTCCAGCAGCCCAAAAGCCAGAAAAACAAGAAAACAAAAAGAACCCAAGAAGTGAAGAACGAGAGGAATTCCGGCTGGAGCAAGTGCGGAAGTTTTCCAAGTTCTACGGATTCGGATCCTCTGCCATAAGGCAGAGTGCCTTGCGGCATCCGACGGCAAGGAGGGGAAGAGAATGGCCTCGAGATCGGGGAAGGAGTGGAGCCCAAGATCTTCGACCGTCCAATCTCCGATCGAACGGCCCGGAAAAGCCGGGCACCCTACCTTACTTTAAAGCAAGGCAGAGGCCCCGGATCCAAGTTCTACAGGGCTCCACAAATTGCAGCTCCTACTCTCGAACGCCACTGAAAAATAAGGAGTTAAGCGCTTGAAACGGCTGTAATCCTTCCATATAAACAAGGCCTTAGCAAGGGTTTCGGGGGGGGGGGGGGGGGGGGGACTGGAAGGTAGAGAGTGGCAGAAACGATTCTATTCTATTCTATTCTATTCTATTCTATTCTATTCTATTCTATTCTATT